AGCCCGTGCTGGCGCTGTGGGACCACACACCACTTGCAGCGCTGCAGTAGCAGTCGTGCGTCCCACGCCCAGGAGTTCGCGCCACTCCTGGACGTGCTAGTGCTTGTTTTGTCCTTCCTCACAATGCTCTGCACATGCTCTCCACTGCAGGGTGTAACCCGCTCACGCTTTGCCGCCGGCACCGAATAGCGTTCTCTGCGCCGCCACTAGCACCATCCCCACACAAGCAAGTGCAAAATTACCGGTATGACAAGCCCCAACGCCGCATCCCTGCGCCTGAGTGACCTGCCGGCCACCCAGCTGTCAACCAGCAAGCACAGGCTCTGCCGATCTGCGGCCCGCGTCAGCGGCAGCCGCGGCTGTCGGCAAGGCCACTGTCCCCACAGCCCCTGCCGTCCCCGCCGCCCCCGCATCAGTGCCGCCCAGCAGCTCCTTCAGCAGCCGCCGCTCCGCCACCACCTGCCGGCGATGTATGGGTTTTTTAGGGAGGGGGGTGGCAGCCGCCAGGTCGAGACAAGCATTGGAGGCAACTTTTTGCAGTCCTCCAACACAAGAAATGTGTCGGGTTTTGTCAGCAAGGGACTGCGGTATGCATTCACAGCATTTGCGGTGCGGCAATCTGGGGTGCTCGAAGGGCCTCGCACAGTGGCAGACGAGCGGGGCCTGTCCTGCTGCCCCACCTGCAGAAGCGCGGCGTCCGGGGATATGTTGCAGGAGCACAACACCGGCCTCTTCAGACGCATCGCTGCACGCACACGGTGGGCAGGGGAGCGAGCAGTGGCCAGGGGAGTTGGGAGGGCGGGGCAGACGGGGGAAAAGGTGAGACATGCCTGCAGCTCACATCGCATGCCGCGGGAGCTCTTTTGCTGTTGTAATGTTGCGGGTACGGTTTATGCAGGCGCAGCAGCAGGCGGCGTCCCAGCCCAGGTGCTGCGTGTGCCTGCACCCTCACCTAACCGCTGCCCCAGGGCCTCGCCCGAGGCCCCTTTCTCGCCACGGATCAGCACCGCCGTCGACGGCGGCCCGCCCTGCGCAGGGCGCATGTTGAGTGAGGCGATGGGGCGCGAGTGCTTTTAGCAGCTGCAACATGCAGGCTGCATCTTGATCTGTACCATACAGCTGCAGCGCTCTCCCCAAGCATCACCGTGCAGGCTGTGCGCAACGTGCTTGAAGCCACACGGCGCTCTGCTGATCGCACCTGGGGCGCTTGGATGCTGAAACTTAGGTTGCTCATCTTCGCGCCGCCAACCGCCACCCACACGTACAGCTGCCGCCCTAGATCAATGATTTGGAAGTCCAAGCGGCCATCGGACGGTGTGACTTCGCTGAAGCAACGCACGCTGCAGCTGGCGCTGGGCTGTTCGTGCGCCGACAATGGCGGCGCGTCACGCTGCTGCTCCTCCAGGTGCGCTGGCTGCTGCAAGACAGCCACCTCCTGAATTGTTTCGTTGGGCATCGCTTCTTCTTCGACACCGCAAGAATCGTGCGAGCAGTTTCGCGTGCTGTGTCAGATCAAGGTCGATCTGTGATACCGGTACCGGAAAAAGCGCGCGTTATTTGATAAAGAACTCAATCTTGATGATATTTATATAATTACACTATCACATTAGCCCCTCAGATCCTGTGTAGGAAAAAGGCCGCAAGTCAATCTCCCCCCTTTTGTGGTGTTATTCAGCTCCATTGGGCAGGCAGGCACACATTTAATCCGTCTCAGTGCCCAGCACTATGGTTCCTCCAACAACTGATGCGCCTGCGGCGGCCGATGATCCTGCCGCGGCTGCCACCATTGCGCCGGGCGTGGCAGTGCGCGACCACCCGCTGTACGGCCGCTGCGCCTTTGCGAACCGCGCCTTTGCGGCAGGCGAGATCGTTGTCAAGGAGGCGCCGCTGGTGGTGTGCGCCGAGGGCGGAGCAGGCAGCGCGCCGGACGATGACCCCGCCGGCGCATGGCTCACGCGGGCTTTTGCCGAGAACGTGCCCGCCGTCAGAGCGGCCTGCAGGGGCGGCGCCACCCCCGACGACCTGCGCCGCCTGTGCGTCTGCTACCTCGCGTTCTGCGCCGCGGCGCCCGAGGCGCGCGAGGCCGTGCTGGGCGGCATGCTGAACGAGGCCGGGCCAGACGCAGCGGACGCGCTCGTCGTGCAGCGCGCGCAGCACGCGGCCGGGTTCATACGGGAGGTGCTCGTGCCGCGCGGCGCCGCGGACGGCACGCTGCGCGACCCGCCCGGCGACGCGGCCACGGTGCTGCGCGTGCTGCTGTCGTTTGAGCTCAACGCGCACGCGGTGGGCGGCAGGTGCGCTGGGGTCGGGGGTGAGGGCTGCTTTGACGGACGTGTCACCAGTCTGCAGCTGGCAGACTGTGCCCACCTGCATACGCCTTGACACATACTGACACACATATTGACCCACGCATGCTCACTCTCGCTTTGCCTCATGAGTGTTTGCCACCATCAGCTTCTCGCCCCCCTTCCCGGCCATCAACAATGCGCCCACAGGGGCGCCCTCTTTGCCGTCGGCAGCAAGTTCACCCACACCTGCGGCCAGCCCAACTCTGTCTTCAAGTCGTGCGGGGGCCTGGGCTACCACGTGGCCCTGCGGGACATAGCCCAGGGGGAGCTGCTCACCACCACGTACCTGGAGGGCGGGCCCATGCTCATGGCAACACCTTACAGGTGACAAGAGCGGGCTGGGGGTTGTATGTCCGCGCCTCCTGCTGCGCATTCACCCAACCCTTGCATGTGCTGGCACCGCCTGCATCGCATCGCCGTGCGCAGCTGTGCCGCCCACCTCGTGTTGGCGTTTGTTGCATGGGGCAGGCAAAGAGTAACAAAGGCGGACCAAATCCGACCCGGCATTTGCGCAGGGAGGTGTTCACGTTGGAAGGCTTCGGCTTCCGCTGCCGCTGCCCGCGCTGCGCCGCGCCGGCCGACGACATGCGCTGCCTGCCCTGCCCCCGCTGCGCCACGGCGGCCACGCGCCGCGGCGGCGACGGGCTGCTGCCCAAATCGGTGGCGCTGAAGGGCGCGCGGCCGCCGGGCGTACTCATATACACGGGCGGTGCGGCAGCTCAGGACGGCAGCAGCGGCGGCAGCAGCGGCGGCGGGGAAGGGCCGGGGACAGCAGCAGCATCAGCAGCATCGTGGGTGTGCGGCTCCTGCGGCGCGGCGCTGCCGGACGACGACGCGGCCCTGTTCGGCGGCGGCGAGCGCGTGGCCGAGGTGGCGGGCCTCGCGCCCAACGGCCGCGTGGAGCGCGGCGCGGGTGCGCTGGTGCACCAGGCTGACCGCGACATGGGGGAGGGGCGCGCGTCGCGGGCGGGCGTGGCGCGGCTGCTGGAGGTTGTGGCGCGGCTGCTGGGGCCGGATCATTGGTCCACGGTGGCGATGATGCGGGGTCACTCGGGTGGGTTGTTTGTGTGCGTGTGTGTATGTGTATTTGTTTTTTGTGTGCATGCGTGGTGACGGGAGCAAGTGGTTTTTGCTTGGGAAACGCAACTCCACAGCTAATGGCCATTACTTGTGCTTGGCGTTGCTGAGCAGGCTATTGATGCAGTCGTTGCTTGTGCTACGCCAAAAGGAACCTAATCAACATGAATCCGTGCCACCCACCCACCCACACATCCACCCCATCCCCCTCGTCAGAGATGCTGCTGGCCGAGCTGCGCTCAGCGGCATCAAACCCCACCAGCAGCATTGGGAGCGCCGTCAGCGCCCTGCTAGAAGACCTGCAGTCGAACTGGAAGCTGCGCTGCAGCTGGGTGGACTCCAGGAGCGGCCTGGACGCCGGGCACACGCTGTTCCAGGAGATTGTGGCCCACGCCTGCGCCCTGTACGAGGCCTACCCACCCCTGGCGCGCGCCCTTGGCGCCCCGCACCCGGCGGCGGCGCGCCTGCTGTCGCTGGCCGCCTGGCTGCGGGGCCGCGTTGTGCCGGCGCTGGGGGTGCTCAAGGCCGGGTGGCCGCTGCCGCAGCCGCTGGGGATGGTGGCGGCGCTGGACGCCGCGGCGGCAGCAGCAGCAGCCGCAGGTGCGCCGGTGGCGGCGCTAGAAGGGGCCGACGGCAGCAGCGGCGGTGGCGGTCTACCAGAGGGCGGCGGCGGCGAGGGGCCGAGCATGCAGCAGCTGCTGGACTTTTTGCCCAGCAGTGGCGGCAGCGGCAAGGGGGGCAAGGCCAAGAAGAAGAAGAGTGGCAGCGGCGGCGGTGGCGGACGTAAGAAGTGATGCCGCTCCCACGGTGTTAACCCAATGTTACGTACGGTATGCTTGAGTGGTTGACTCTGGACAGCACTGGCCGCTTAGGCCGAGCGTACTCACATGCAGCACCAGGCTGTCACTAGGAAGGGATCACACCACCCTCAACCTCAGAGCAGGCGCCATTCAAGGGATAGCGCCTGGACTGCCCCCTGCTGTGAAATACAGTCTGACACATGCGATCCAAACAAACAACACTGCGGATAGAACAGGGCGGTTACACCTGCATCACATTGTAGTCCACCAGCCACGCAACAACCAGGGGCCAGTCAGCGCGGGAAGCCCCTGGCCCCCAGCAGCTCAGCGTCGCTGCAGTCCAGCACCACCTCCAGCGGCCACCCGCGCGCAGCCGCGCGCCGCTGCACGGCGTCCACGCACTCCCGCGTCACACACCAGGTGTCTATCAGTGTGACCTTGGTCAGGCTCTCGGGCCGCCCGGCCTCCAGCAGGTCGAGGCACGAGTCGGTGAAGGTCTCGTTGAACGGCAAGATGGCGGGGCCCTCCTCCAGCTGTACGGCAGGGCGCGTTGCCAGAACGGCCATGTCAGTAGGGCCAAGCCAGCGCGCGCTGCCAGCAGCTCTCCACGAGCGACGGCTTGCGCCCGCGACCCGTGCAGCAAGCACTCCGGCACCAGCGCCCGCGGCTGATGCACGCCACTCGGTACGCGGGGTTGCTCCGGTCGCACCTCCAACTCCTCAAGTTGCTGGAAGTACAGCAGCAGGGCCACCACGCAGTCAAGCGGCTCCTCGCTGGCGACGTAGCGCAGCCGCAGCCATTGCAGCCCAGTGCACGTGCCTGCCGCCACGATCAGCGCAAGAGCAACGTCCGGCTGCCGGGCCACGGCCAAGGACAGCTTGGCGATGTGATCCTCACAGTGACTGTTCAGCTTGCTGAGGAGCGCGAGGAGGGCATCCTTGACGGTCGTGTTGTCGTCAATGTCGTCGGCAGGATTCAGGTGATCACGGATTTCAAAGTTGTCAACTTTCATAACATTGACCCACGAGAAGCTGCGACGGCCGCTGCGGCAGAAGTCCTGCGCATATGTGCAAGCGGTGGCGGCGCTAGTGTCATGTGCGCCCGTGCTTTTAAGCATGAGCGTTCACATCACAGTGAGCATGCATGCTCTCGTACAGTGCTGCCGTTGTGGCGCCATGGTGCAGCAACATGAGGTTGCATTCGCCATGTGGAGCGTGCTGGGAGATGAAAAGCGGACGCAGCGAGCGAGCGTCTCCACTCAACAGCCCAAAAGCAGCTCAGCAACCAGCACGCCATACTCATCCCAGCATCCAGCATCCTCATGACTCAACAGCCGCTGCACCGGTCTGACTGTGGGCAACCCCTGGCCTCGCGCACCTTGAATGCGCCCCGCAGCACCAGCTCCCGCAGAGTCTCATGCACAGGAAGTATTACAGCGGCCGTGTCCGCCTTGGATGGCCCCAGCTCCAGCCTCAGCAGCCTGGGCGCTAGCTTTGCCAGGTTGTACGCAAAGCCTGGGTCAAACGCCACCGCCAGGGCGCGGAGCTGTGGGAACTCCGCGATGCAGTCATCAGAGGCGGCGATGCTGGCAGCATCCAGGCGCGTCAGCTGCGGCGCCGCCGAGGCCAGCGCCTCCAGGTGACCCTGCGCTAGGCGGGCCGCCGGCAGCGACAGGTGGACCAGCCCAGTGGCGGCCGCAAGCGCAGGCCCAATGGGAAGTTGCTCGCTGACGCTATTTGAAACATTGCAGCGCAGCTGAGTCAACTGCGCCGGCCCCGAGGCGGCAATGGCTGCGAACTGGTCGCCCAGCCCAAAGAAACCCCCTCCCTCCAACGCCAGGCGCCTCAGGCCAGTCAGTTGCACGCCGCCCAGCGGCAGCCTGCCGGCGAGCTGCAGCTCGGTTAACGCCGCCAGCCCCTTGAACCAGCCTGACAATGTGTAGCAGGGCTGCGGCACGCCGCCCAGGAAGACCACCAGCGACCGCAGCCGCGTCAGGGCCCCGAGCGCGGCAGCGCACTCGGGCCGCCAGGCAGGGGCCCGCGCGACCTCGCCGCGGGGAGGGTCCCCTTTTCTATTGAATGCGATGCGCAGGGACGTGAGGCCAGTCAGGCTGGCCAGCGAGGCCGCCGTGTCGTGGTAAAGGGCGCCGTTTGAGTCCTCCAGGGAGATGCTGAGTCGCTCAAGCCCCGGGCACAGCGCGGCCAGCGCAGGCACGCAGGTCGAGGGGCAGCCGTCCACGTGCTTGACGCCGCGCCACCGTGCAAAGGCGGCGTCTGGGCCTGCTGCGCCTGCCCATGTGTACATGAAGCGCAGCAGCTTTGCAGTGCCCTCAGGATGGTGGGCATCGAATCGCTCGTGGCCCTGTCGATTACATCAGGTTGTTTGGGGGGGCACACGCTCATGTCGGGGATGACATGTGTAGAGCACGGTGTGCCAGCCTGCTTGAACAAATCAGGAGGGGTTCACAGCAGCGAAACCGCAGCGGGGGCCGCATTTACATGAGCCGCATGTCGCAGGGGCGCCTCATGCATGACACCACCCGCACCTGGTGAAAGCACAGCCTGCCGGCAATTGGAAACCGCTGCATCAGCGCCGCCAGCCGTGCCGCTGGCAGCCCACAACGGTCGGCCTTGTCCAAGCTGCCCAGCGAGATTGCCACGCGCACCGAGCGCGTGTCGGCAGCCGCACGCAGCTTTGAGTGTGCTGGTCGGAGCGACCGCAGGTCGGCGTTGCTCTCGGTCGCCACATGCTGCACGACGCGCAGCAGCACCTCTTCGGGCAATGTTGTTAGAGTCACCTGCCGGGCGGAGGAGTGTCTATGATGATGGGCCTGCCAGACACGAACTCCTTGGAAACCGCGATCTAGGCGGGCCATCGCACTCCCGCCCAAGGCCTGTTGAACGACTTCGTCAAGCAGCAGTGTACGCCGTGAATCATATTGTGCGACGGTGAAGCACCCTCACCTCGCAGCGGGTTGCCATGCTGCGATGCTCGCTGTTGATCAAAATGCGAGACCGGCAGCTGTCGGCGACTTTTTCATGAATTGCAATGCAGCTATCACGCCTGCACACACCTGCTGCAGTCTCCGGTGCATCCGATGACTGCATCTTGCCCTGTCACCTGATTGCGGTCGCCGGGCTCCTCACAGCACAAACTTCGCAAGGGCAGGGTTGGTCGCAGAGGGGCCACCCTTGTTCTTGTGGAACGCACCGCCAGGATGGGGGCGAAGCTCTTGTGCTGCCATTGAAATAACGATGCAGCAGCTAGTGGTGGTTGTGAGGCGCAATTCGCTCAGGCCCAGTCAATACGTGGCAACTGGCCAGCTGAGGCCTGTGCCCTTCTTGGAAAATGGTTAGGGTTTGAGGTTTAGTTTTTGCTATCTCTAAGCCCCAAGAAGCTGTCATCATAGAGGGACCATACGCGACCTGCAATTCGAGACAGGGCAAGCATTTGGGGAACAGTGCTTGGTCTGTCATCTGCTGATATCCAGTCTGACACGTGCAATCCATACAGGCAAAAGTGCAGACCAAACACAGCGTTTACACCTGCACCACACAATTAAGCACCAGCCACGGAATGACCACACGCGCCAGGGGCCAGTCAGCGCGGCGAGCCCCTGGCCCCCAGCAGCTCAGCGTCGCTGCAGTCCAGCACCACCTCCAGCGGCCACCCACGCGCCGCCGCGGCGCCGCTGCACGGCGTCCACGCACTCCCGCGTCACACGCCAGGTGTCTGTCAGTGTGACCTTGGTCAAGCTCTTGGGCCGCCTCGCCTCCAGCATGTCCAGGCACGAGTTGGTAAAGGCCTCGTCACCCAGCTCGCCGGCGTGGCCCTCCTTCAGCTGCACGGGAGGGCGCGTCGCCGCAGGGGCCATGTCCGATCAGGGCCAAGGCAGCGCGCGCGATTAGTGTCTCCCCGCGAGCAACGAACGCCGGACAATCCGCCGTCCGTGCAGCAAGCAGTCCGACACCAGCACGTGCGCCCGATGCACGCCGCCCGGTGGGCGGTGTTCGATCGCACCTCCAGTTCCTGGAGGTTCCTGAAGTAGAGCAGCAGGGCCACCACGCGTACGAGCGGCGCCTCGCTTGCAAAGTAGCGCAGCCGCAGCCGTCGCAGCCCTGTGCACGTGCCTGCCGCTGCGATGAGCGCAAGGGCCGCGTCCGGCTGTTCGGCCACGCTCAAGGACAGCCCGACAAGGTGGACATCGCCACTCAAATTGTAGAGGAGGGTGAGAAGGGCATCCTTGACGGTTAAGTTGTCGTCATTGTCGGCGGTCAGGTCCAGCTGGTCATGGATCTCGCAAGTGTGGAGGTCCAGCCAGTCTACCCACAAGAAGCTGTGGCGGCCGCTGTGGCAGAAGTCCTGCGCGTATGTGCAAAGCGGTGCGGCGCCGGTGTCGCGCGCGCGCGCGCGCGCGTCTGCGCGTGAGCGTCTACGTCCCAGTGAGCCTGCGTGCTCTGGTATTGTTGATGTGGCACCACTGCGCCGCGTGGTTTTGCCATGTAAAGCGTGCTGCTATCAACAACAGCGGAAGCAGCCAGCGAGCTCCCCCATTCAGCGGCCCAACAGCAGCACAGCATGCGGCACGCCACCAGCACACCAGCATCCAGCATGCCCACATGATCCAGCAGCGGCTGAAGACAGACCGCTGGCAACCCCCGCCCCTGCGCACCTTGAATGCGCCCCGCAGCGCCAGCTCCCGCAGAAAGCCGGCCACAGGGGCTAGTACGGCAGCCTCATCCACCTTGGATGGCGCCAGCTCCAGCCTCCGCACCTCTGGCACCAACAACGCCAGGTTGTACGAGAAGCCCGGGTCGAACGCCGCGGCCAGAGTGCGGAGCTGCGGGAACTGGGCGGTGCACTCATCAGAGGCGGCAATGCTGGCAGCTTCCAGGCGCGTCAGCTGCGGCGCCGCCGAGGCCACCGCCTCCAGGTGACCCTGCGCCAGGCTGGCCGCCGGCAGCGACAGGTGGACCAGCCCAGTGGCGGCCGAGAGCGCAGGCCCAAAGGGAAGCTGCTCGTTGACCCTGTTCGCAAAGCTGCAGCGCAGCTGAGTCAACTGCCCCAGCCCCGCAGCGGCAATGCCTGCGAGCTGCGAGCTCAGCAGGATGGACCCCGCTCCCTCCAGCACCTGGCGCCGCAGGCCGGTCAGTTGCATGCCGGCCGACCCGGTCGGCCACATGCCGACCAGCTGCAGCTCGGTCAGCGCCGTCAGCCCCTTGACCCAGCCCGTTGCGGCATGGTGGAAACGCGACGCGGCGCCCACGGATATCACCAGCGACCGCAGCTGCGTCAGCGCGCCGAGCGCGGCAACGGACTCCGGCCGCCACTCGACGAGCTGTGGGGCCTGGTCGCGTGCAGGGGCTGCCGTCGGGTGGAATGCGACGCGCAGGGATGTCAGGCCAGTCAGGCTGGCCAGCCTGGCCGCCGTGTCGCGATACAGGACACCGTTGGTGTCCTCCAGAGAGATGCTGAGACCCTCGAGCCCGGGGCACAGCGCGGCCAGCGCAGGCACGCAGGTCGAGGGGCAGCCGTCCACGTGCTTGACGCCGCGCCACCGTGCAGTGGCGGCGTCCGGGCCTGCTGCGCCTGCCCATGTGTACATCAAGCCCAGCAGGCTCGCTGTACCCTCCGGATGGTGGGCATCAAACCGCTTGGGGCCCTGTGGGTTACGATAAGGTATTCAAGGGAGGCGCACGCTCATTGCGGTGAAGCCTGGTCACTTAGTCACAGTCAGATTGCGGTCAACAGGCTCCTCACAACGAACCTACGTTGTGTTGCCTCGCTAAAGAGGGGTTGGTCGCAGAGGGGCCATCCTGTTCTTGTTGAACATACTGCCAGGATGGGGGCGAGCTCTTGCATTGCCACCGGAAACCGATGCAGCAGCTACTGGCGCTGGTGAGGCACAACAGGCCCAGTCTGTGTGTGGCATCTGGCCAGCTGAGGCCTCTGCCTTTCTTACAAATGACATTAGGGTTTGCGTTTCCTAAGACCCAAGAAGCTGACATCACACAGGCATGACCCGACCCACCATCTGAGACAGGGCAAGCCATTGGGGAAGAGCGCTTGGTCTGCCGCATGCTGCACAATATAGTATAGAAACCGTGCAATCCATACAGGCAACACTCCAGACAGAGCGCGGTGGTTACACCTTTACCAACCCAGAAGTTGACAGCCACAAAAAGGACCACGGGCACTAGGGGCCAGTCAGCGCGGGGAGCCCCTGGCCCCCAGCAGCTCCGCGTCGCTGCAGTCCAGCACCACCTCCAGCGGCCACCCACGCGCAGCCGCGCGGCGCTGCACGGCGTCCACGCACTCCCGCGTCACACACCAGGTGTCTGTCAGTGTGACCTTGGTCAGGCTCTTGGGCCGCCCCGCCTCCAGCAGGTCGAGGCACGAGTCGTCGAAGGACTCATCACACATGGAGCTGGTGGGGCCCTCCTCCAACTGGACGGGAGGAGGCGGCGCGCACCATCAGCGTGTCTCAGCAAGCAGGATTGAGACTAGCACGAATGGTGCGTCAAGCGGCGGCTTGCGGTCTGCCACCCGTGCAGCCAGCAATCCGACACCAGCGCGTACGGGTGATGCATGCTGCGCGGTATAAGGGGGCTGCTGCGATCACACCTCGAGTTCCTCGAGGCCCCGGAAGTAGAGCAGCAGGCCCACCACGCGGTCGAGCGGCACCAGGCTGGCGACATAGCGCAGCCGCAGCCGTTGCAGCCCTGAGAACGTGCCTGCAGCTGCGACCAGAGAAAGAGCCGCGTCGGGCTGGTGGGCCACCGTCAAGGACAGCTGGGCCATGAACCCGAGACCGCCTAGATTGCTGAGGAGCTCGAGCAGGACATCCCTAACCATGGTTTTCTTGTCAATAGGGGCGGCAAGATCCAGCTGGTCAGAGATCTCGAAAGTTGTGGCGTCCACACAGCCAACCCACGAGAAGCTGTCGCGGCCGTTGCGGCAAAAGTCCTGTGAGCGGTCGGGGTGCCAGAGTTGCGTGCGTGCGTGCTTTTCGCGCGTGAGCATCTGAGTGCTAGCGAGCGTACACGGTCTCCTACTGCCATTGTGGGGACATGGTGGTGTGACATGAGGTGGCCTTCGCCATGTGGAGCGTGCTGCCGTGATGAACAGCAGAAGCAGCCAGCGCGGTTCTCTGATGAATAGCTCAACAGCAGCTCAGCGTCTGTCACGCCACCCTCACACCAGCATCCAGTATCCCCATATGGCTCAGCAGTGGCCGAATTGTTGCAACCGCTGGCACGAACCCCGCCCCCGTGCACCTTGAATGCGCCCCGCATCGCCAGCTCCTGTAGAGTGCCTGCCGCAGAAGTTATTATGTCCTCCTCGTCCACCTTGGACGGCGCCAGCTCCAGCCTCTGCAGCTGCGGCGCCAACAAACCAAGGTTGTAATTATAGCCTGGGCCAAACGCCGCCGCCAGGGTGCACAGTTTTGGGAACTCGGCGGTGCACTCATCAGAGGCGGTGATGCTGGCGGCTTCCAGGCGCGTCAGCTGCGGCGCCGCCGAGGCCAGCGCCTCCAGGTGACCCTGCGCCAGGCGGGCCGCCGGCAGCGACAGGTCGACCAGCCCAGCGACGGCCGCGAGCGCAGGTCCAAAGGGGAGCGGCTGTCCAGCCCGGTCAAACCAAGAGGTGCAGCGCAGCTGAGTCAACTGCGCCAGCCCCGCAGCGGCGATGCCTGTGAGCTGCGAGCTCAGCCCGATGGCCCCCACTCCTTCCAGCACCAGGCGCCGCAGGCCAGTCGGTTGCGCGGTGACCGCTGGCAACAAGCCGACCAGCTGCAGCTCAGTCAGAGCCGTCAGCCCCTTGACCCAGTCCGCCCATGAGTGAAAACCCAGCGACGCGCCGCCCGTGAAGACCACCAGCGACCGCAGCCGCGTCAGGGCCCTGAGCGCGGCAACGGACTCTCGCCGCCAGAAGGAGAGATGCGCGCCCTTGCCGCAGGCCGGGTCCTCTGTTCTGTTGAAGGCGATGCGCAGGGACGTGAGGCCAGTCAGGCTGGCCAGCGCGGCCGCCGCGTCGTGAAACAGGACGCCGTTGGAGTCCTGCAGGGAAATGCTGAGTGCCTCGAGCCCCGGGCACAGCGCGGCCAGCGCAGGCACGCAGGTCGAGGGGCAGCCGTATACGTGCTTGACGCCGCGCCAGCATGCAGGGGCGCCGTCCGGGCCTGGTGCAACGCCCCAAGTGCACATCAGGCGCAGCAGCCTCATAGTGCCCTCCAAATGGGACCGAGACAGCCGGTGGCCCTGATTTGCAACGACACAGCCGAGGGGACAGATAGAGGGGAAGACATGCCCTCAAGTGGGTGGGACCAGTCACCCAGTGCTATGCCTGCTTGAATTTTACAAGGGATGCGCAGCGGTGGTGACACTGCGGGGGCCCCATGTGCACGAGCTGTGCGTCGCAAGCGCGATTCATGCATGACCCCACCCCACCTGGTGGAAACACAGCCTGCTGGCATTCGGAAATCGCTGCATCAGCGCCGCCAGACGTGCCCCTGGCAGCCCGCAACGGTCGGCCCTGTTCAAGCTGAACAGCGAGATTGCCACACGCACTGCGCACGTGTCTGCGCCCGCACGCAGCTTTGAGTGCGCTGCTCGCATCGACCGCAGGTCGGCGTTGCCCCCGTTGGCCACATGCTGCACGATGCGCAGCAGCACTTCTTCGGGCAATGTTGTCAGAATCGCCTGCGGAGCGAATGGGTGTCGATCATGATGAGCCTGCCAAACACGAACTCCTTGAAAACCGCGGTCTAGGCGGGAGATCGCGCTCCAGCCCAAGGCCTGTTGAAACACTTTAAGTGCCAGCAATGTACGTCGTACTCGATGACGCGTAAGGCTCAACCACACTCACCTCACAGCGCGTCTCCATGTTGCGATGCAGCCAGATCAAGATGTGAGACCGGCGGATGTTGGCGACTTTGCTGGTTCCGTTGGACTGCTGTCATCACGTGCCTGTACACACTTGCTAAGTCACCGGTGCATCCGAGGACCGTATCATGCCCTGTCACTTGACTACGACCTGGTCACCTGATTGCGGTCGACGGGCTCCTCACAGCACAAGCCTCGCTAAAGTGGGGTTGGTTGCAGCGGGGCCACCCTGTGATTATGAAACGTACTGCCAGGATGGGGGCAAGCCCTTTAATACCCAGCACAAAACGATGCAGCTACTGGCCCGGGTGAGGCACAATTTGAACAGGCCTAGTCTGTGTGTGGCATCTGGCCAGCTGAGGCCTCTGCCTACCTAACAAAAGACATCAGAGTTTGCAATTTCTTAAGCCCCAAGAAGCTGTCATCACAGACGCATGACCCGACCCACCATCTGAGGCAGGGCAAGCAACAGGGGAAGAGCGCTTGGTATGCCGCATGCTGCACAATCTAGTCTAGGAACCGTGCAATCCATACAGGCAACACTCCAGACAGAGCACGGCGGTTACACCTGCATCAATCTACAGCCCACGAGCCACAGAACGACCACACGCACCAGGGGCCAGTCAGCGCGGGAAGCCCCTGGCCCCCAGCAGCTCCGCGTCGCTGCACTCCAGCACCACCTCCAGCGGCCACCCCCGCGCCGCCGCGCGCCGCTGCACGGCGTCCACGCACTCCCGCGTCACGCCCCAGGTGTCTGTCAGTGTGACCTTGGTCAGGCTCTTGGGCCGCCCCGCCTCCAGCAGGTTGAGGCATGAGTCGTCGAAGGCCTCGTCATCCAGCACGCTGCAGGGACTCTCCTCCAGCTGCACGGGGGGGAGGGGGAGGGGGGTCGCCGCAGGGGCCATGTCCGAGCAGGGCCGAGGCGGCGTGCTCCGTCAGTGGCTCGCGCAAGTCACGCATGTGGCCCGCCATCCGTGCAGCAGGCACTCTGACACCAGCGCCTGCGGCTGATGCATGCCGCTCGGTGCGCCGGGGTTGCTGCGATCGTACCTCCAATTCCTCGAGGTGTCGAAAGTACAGCAGCAGGCCCACCACGCAGTCCAGCGGCTCCTGGCTGGCGGCGTAGCGTAGCCGCAGCCGTTGCAGCCCTGAGCACGTGCCAGTAGCTGCAACCAGCCCTAGAGCCACGTCTGGCTGCTGGGCCATGGCCAAGGACAGCCCGGGGAGGTAGGTGACACCACCTATGTTGCTGAGGAGCTCGAGCACGACATCCTTGACGGTTGTGTTGTCATCAATGTCATCGGCAAGATTGAGGTGATCATAGATTTCAAAGTTGTCGACTTCTATCCATTTGACCCACGAGAAGCTGTTGCGGCCGTCACGGCAGAAGTCGTGTGCGTGCATGCAAGTGATGGGGGCGCCGGTGTTGCATGAGCGCGTGCTTTTGAGCGCAAACACTTGCATCCCAGGGAGCGCGCATGCTCTCGTACTGGCGCCGCGGCGCCATGGCACCGCAAGATAAGCTGGCAGTTGCCGTGAGGAGCGTGCTGCGGTGATGAGCAGCGGAGGCATCCAGCGAGCTTCTCCACTCAACGGCCCAACAGCAGCTCAGCAACCGGCACGCAACACTCACACCAGCGCGCAGCATCCCCCATGCCTCAATAGCCGCAGCACCGGTCTGATTGCGGGTAACCCCTGGCACCGCGCACCTGAAATGCGCCCCGCAGCGCCAGCTCCCGCAGAGTGGCTGCCGCGGGCGCTACTATGGCACCCATGGCCACCTTGGATGGCGCCAGCTCAAGCCTCAGCAGTCCAGGCGCCAACAACGCCAGGTTGTACGCAAAGCCCGGGTCAAACGCCGCAGCCAGGGTGCAGAGCTGCGGGAACTGGGCGGTGCAGTCATCAGACGCGGCGATGCTGGCGGCTTCCAGGCGCGTCAGCTGTGGCGCCGCCGAGGCCAGCGCCTCCAGGTGACCCTGCGCCAGGCTGGCCGCCGGCAGCGACAGGTGGACCAGCCCAGTGGCGGCCGCGAGCGCAGGCCCAAAGGGAAGCGGCTCGCCGGCCCTGTTGGAAGAGGTGCAGCGCAGCTGGGTCAGCTGCCCCAGCCCCGCGGCGGCGATGGCTGCGAACTGGTCGCGCAGCCAGAAGTCCCCCCCTCCTTGCGGCGCCAGGCGCCGCAGGCCAGTCAGTTGCGTGTGGGCCATCGGCAGCCTGTTCGCCAGCTCCAGCTCGGTCAGCGCCGTCAGCCCCTTGACCCAGGCTGACGATGTGTAGCAGCGCTGCGGCGCGCCGCCCAGGAAGACCACCAGCGACCGCAGCCGCGTCAGGGCCCCGAGCGCAGCAACACACTCCGGCCGCCAGGCGGAGGGCTGCACGCCCGTTCCGCGGGCCGGGTCCTCTGTTCTGTTGAAGGCGATGCGCAGAGACGTGAGGCCAGTCAGGCTGGCCAGCGAGGCCGCCGTGTCGTGGTACAGGTCGCCGTTTGAGTCCTCCAGGGAGATGCTGAGCTCCGCAAGCCCCGGGCACAGCGCAGACAGCGCAGGCACGCAGGCCGAGGGGCAGCCGTCTACGTGCTTCACGCTTCGCCACTGTGGAGGGGTGGCGTCCGGGCCTGGTGCAACGGCCCAAGCGCACATGAAGCGCAGCAGCTTCGATGTGCCCTCCAAATGGTGAGAGTTATACCGCTGGTGGCCCTGTGACGCGCAAAGCAATGCCCAAGGGGATTAGCGGGGTGGCATGCATTTATGCAGATCGAACCAGTCATTTAGTACTGTGCAAGCCTGCTTGAACAAGTCAAGAGGGGGTTCACAGCAGCGAGACCGCAGCGGGGGCCGCATGTACATGAGCCACATGTCGCAGGCGCGCCTCATGCGATGAACATCACCCCCACCTGGTAAAAGCACAGCCTGCTGGCATTTGGAAACCGTTGCATCAGCGCCGCCAGCCGCGCCCCTGGCAGCCCACAACGGTCAGCCTTGTCCAAGCTGCCCAGTGAGGTTGCCACGCGCACAGCGCACGTGTCAGCGGCTGCGCGCAGCTTTGAGTGTGCTGCTCGCATCGACCGCAGGTCGGCGTTGCCCCCGTTGGCCACATGCTGCACCATGCGCAGCAGCACCTCTTCAGGCAACGTTGTCAGAGTGGCCTGTGGGGCGAATGGGCTTCTTCAATAATGAGCCCGGTATACAAGACGGCCGTTCAATCCGCGATCTAGGCGGGAGATCGCACTGCAGCCCGCGGCCTTTCAAACGACTTTGATGAGCAGCAGTGCAAAGTCGCACTCGATGATGCGCGGGGCTCAACGACACGCACCTCACAGCGGGTCGCCATGCTGCAGTGCATTCAGATCAATGATGTGAGATCCGCGGCTGTCAGCGACCTTGCTGGTTTGAACGGACAGCTGCAAGCATGCTGGCACAGATCTGCTGCAGTCACCAGTCCCAATGACTGCATCATGCTGCCCTGTCACCTGACCGTCACCCGGTCACCTGCTTGCAGACGTCAGTCCCTCGCCGCTGAAAACGCTGCTAGTGGGGCACGCTACTGGTGGGTTCTCCAGGGCCGAAGACATCCGTGGCATCTGGCCAGCTGAGTCCTCGGCCTTTGTGAGCCGTTCACGCCCTGCATCGAGACTGTGGCCCTCGCTCTCTGCGGCCACCTGCAACCCCAATATCAAGCCTGACACCGACCTTCCGTTGCCTGCTGCACGATGCAAATTGCTACATACACTGGTCAATGCACGCACTGCATAAGAATCAAGCAGAACCAAGGTCGCTCAAGCATACATACACCGCCGAGGGGTCCCCGATCGGGCGCGGGTGTGCGGCTGATGTGCGCAAGCCAGAGGACTGCAAAGGCGAGGCGTTGGAGAGGCGGGTGGCGCCCGGAGCGCCTGCGCCATCGATGACACGGCCGCTGCGCATGCTGGCCTGCGCGGCGACAACGCCATATGAGAATCCGAGCAGTGCCCCAGTGGGCCGTGGCAGTGATGTGCGTGATTGCAGCAAAAGCACACCGGGCGTACCCACAAAGGCAAGCACGAGGGCACTCGCATACGTGTGACCGAAACCTCCTACGTGCGGATGCAAATGCACACGTCAGGCATGCGGTGCATGCTGAACCGGTTTCAGCCCAAATCAGGCTATTTGCAGACGCATGCATTCAAGCAGGGCACTCGAGCAGGGCGCTCGTTTGCGTGGCGTGTCAGGCGATGAGCCAATAGAAACACATAACACGAAGCGCCGCGAGGGGGCGGCCTGCCACTCCTAGCGTGCGTTTATGACAGCGGGAACACCCGTTGCGCGCACAAGCATGAATTTTCACCCGCATTCGGGCCGAAAGCCATAAGCATCTTCCCAAGCCCCAGCGGGCCGAAGATTGCAGCACACAACAGGCTGCATTGTTTGCCGCGCCCCCCGGCCTCTGATGAGCACATGGATGCGACGCGCCACCGCCCCACCGATCAAGCCTGCGGCCGGCTCTGCAGCACCCACAGGTTGCCGTCACAGTCGATGCCACCCTCCACGTCCTGCGCCACCGCCGCGCCGCCCTCCGCGGCGCCGAGCGCGCGCTCCGCCGCCACCGCGGCCACCGCCGCGCCCCACAGCGCGCGCAGCGCGGAGGCCTCGTCGCGGCAGAGGGGGTCGCGCGCGTAGTCCGCCGGGGCGCGCGGCAGGGGGGCGGAGGGGTGGGAAGAGAAGAGGCCGGCGCCGCTGCAGCCGGGCAGGTCCTCTGAGGGGGATTCGGGTCGGTTGGGAGGGAGATGAAGCGCCTTCAGCGCAGGAAGGGCAGGGCACAACGGTTGCGGGAGCAACAATGCCTAGAGTGTAGACCACGGAGGGCCAGCGGATGGCAATCTTGACAAAGTAGGAGGGGGGGGGGAAGCAGGCAGGAGAGCAGGCTGGTAGCCAAGCACCAAGGCGGGGGACGGCCTGCAGGGCATGCACGCGGCGACGCTTCGAGGCGGCTGGCGCCGCAGGCCCTCGCCTGCGTTGCTGTCCGACCGCGCCATGACCACCCCATCAGCCGGCTGCGGCGCCGGCAGCACGTGGCTCTTCGAAGGGTAGCTCGCCAGCCGCACAGACCGCCGCAGCGCCTCCAGCGGCGGCGCCCCGGAGCCAGCGCCGCCGCTGCCGGCCGCGTCAAGGCTACTCAGCGCCTTGTGCACAACACCAAACAGCAGCCCCGCCACGCCGCCGCCCTTGCCGGCCCCGCCGGCCGCGGCCTGGTCGAGCGCTGCGTCGACCGCTGACCGCGCGACGGCGCCGCCCAGGGCGCGGCCGGGGAAGTCGCCCGACACGAGGGCCTCCCCCAGGCCCGACACCACCTCCACGTAGACCTCATCACTGCTGCCTGTGGTGGGGCTGTGCGGGGCGTTCCATGGGAGGCAGGGAGGGAGGGGGAGAGTTGGGTCCTAGAGGTGGACTAGTGGGTGGAAGGAGCCGACAGAGAGGTGGTGTGGTGACTGCAGCACCACAAGGGCTGGAACGATGCTGCAGCTTTCATGGGTAATCGACACGGACGTGTGTGGGGAGGGCTGGAGCAACCGTTGGGTACCGATCATACAGCCGGCCGCGTGCCCTGCAACTCCCCAAAGCCCACAGACCCACCTGCGGGTGTGCGCCACAAAGGCGTAGCGGATGGGCGCCACCGGCTGCAGCAGCACCGCCATGCGCAGCGCCGAGCGCGGCAGCCCCGCGTGGCGCAGCGCGGCCGCCGCGCCCGCGCCCCACTGGCTGGCGTACACCTCCAGTGTGGCGCGCCACAGGCCGGCCAGGGCGTCCCCTTTGCCCGCCTGCTGCTGCTGCTGCTGCTGCTGCTGCTGCTGCTGCTGCTGCTGCTGCTGCTGCTGCCACCACTGCAGCCCCTGCTCCAGCAGTGACCGCAGGCCCTCGGGGGCTTTGAGCCGCATCACCTGTGACCTGTGGATGATGTGGGAGCCGGCAGCACCACGGCAGCGCGCAGCATCGGCGGCCGGTGACCTTGAGGCCTTTATATGCTGCACCAAAAACCCACAAGCCCAGCACGCCCTCCCTTTGCTTGCGAGTCATGAAGACTCAGCCGCGCGAAAGATTGCACATCGACAAACAACCTGCGGGCTCAGGGGTTGTCTAGGGCAGGCCCTCATCACCTGATCTCGGCCAGCAGCTGCTCGCCAGCTGCCCCATGCGCCCCCTCCGCCGCCAGCCGCCCCTCCAGCCGCCGGATCTCCCCCGCCGCCGCCTCGTTCGCGGGGTCGCGCAGCACGCCCTCCTCAAACGCCCCGAAAGGCATCGCCGCCGACGCCGGCGCGCGCAGCCAGCCGGGCAGGCCGCGCGCCAGGCGCCGCGTGTTGGCGCTCTTCGCACCCACCAGCCCCGGCTCGAAATCGTCCATCGCCACCGCCCAGCGGCCGCACCACGCGGGCGCCGGCGTCGCCGCCGCCGCGCCGGCCGCCACCTGCGGCTCTTCGCCGTTGCTGTCGCCGTTCACGAGCGCCGCCGCGAGCTCGTCCGCCGTCGCCTCCCGCAGCGCGACGCCGCCCTCTGCGTCGACCCGCAGCGCCACGCCGCGCCCCTCCAGCTCCGCCGTGCGCGCCGCCTCGCGCGCATCCAGGCACGCGACTAGCGGCACGCCCGCGCCCCTCGCGCGCACCGCGGCGTGGCAGAGCACGTCCGGGCAGTGGCCCAGCACCACCACCCCGCCGCACCCCGGCGGCACGTCCTCCTCCCCGCGCACGCGGTCGACCAGCAGCAGCGGCCGCCCCGCCGGCGCCGCGCCGCCCGCCGCCGCCGCCGCGATCACCGGGCCCGCGTCCGCGAGCGACGCGACCCGCAGCAGCGGCCCGACCGCAGGCGC